GGCCTGTGATCAGTGGCTATGCCCCTGGCCTGCAGAAATATATCCTTGGACTCAGTGACTTAGAATTGTCTTTGTATTTGTGTATTTGTGTGCTGCACTAGGGTTGGCTAGAAGTCAAGATACTCTTAACCAATCCCAGTTTAATATGAAAATAGGACAAGTTATCTTCTCTAAAATAGAACGCAATGAGTGTTGTGGCTTTCGAATTCTGAGGTTAACAGAAATATTTTGTTTTCTGAGGTAGAATGACACATTTCATGCCTCAGTGGGTGTCCCTTCCCCTCATTTGGCTGCTGTAGTCAACCACTCAGCTATGAAGTGCACATGGCATGCTTAAAATGAAACTGGAAGCTAAAAGTCAGTGTTATAATTACAAATTAAAAGTGGATAAAGAGTCTTGCTGAGCATCATTAGAGAAGATACCCAGTGCTGGCCATGTCTGCCCATTACAGGCTTTCTAAAAATATATATAAAGAACTTCACTGCATTCTATAATCACATCATTATTCATTTTAATGTTTGTTTCTCTAAACACTTTTAGCCTCCACTTGTTAATTAAGGCAGACAGTCTATAGAGTAATCCCTCAGTCACTGTCTTCATCATAAGATCATGGAGCAACCTTAATACTTCTAGAGCTGACTTCCCAGACATGGATTAAGCCTAGTCTTAGACTAAATTGCAGTACCAATGGTGAGTTACAATTATTTTATTTAATTTAGGCTGAGGCCAGATATGTTTGGGAAATTCTCAAAAAATGAATAAGGATATGAATTCCTCATAGAATCCAATGTAATCATACAATTTATTGATTGGTTCTAGTTTTTGAAAATATCCACCTCTTTCCACAAGTAAATACACTCTCATTAACATGCTCCTTTCTGTAGCTCGTACCAGAGCAGACCCCAACCACAGCACTAAACCTTTGCGTTATGCCTAAGAACAGCCCTCACCCATGACAAAATCACAATAGCATATAGCCTGAAGTAATTTATTGATTTTATGAAGCTTCTACAACATAAAACATAACACACACACATTTTCAATAAAAAATGTATTAACATAAACAATTCCTCCACTAACATACTCCCTTTACAGCAGGGATGCTTAACCATTTTCAAAGTGCAACCCTTTTGGGGGTTGAAAATATTTCATGACCCCCTTTTTCTCCCTTCCACGGGCCACACACACAGACCAACATACATATTGCAGAACCCCAGTTTAAGAACCCCTAGTTTAGAGTATGTTAATATTGCCGCTATGCACCACTGAATGAGACCAAGAACTCTCACCAAAAGCTGTACACTGCATTCAGTAACATATTCTTTACTTTTATTTAGAAGATTTACAGCTTGAATTACTTCAATTTAAAGCTTGAAACATGGAATATTAATGGAGGAGCTGTTTAGCTACCTTTTAGCCTGTTTAACTTGCTACCGTTTAGCCTAGTTGTTATATTTCAGACTTATACCTAACATTTAGACTAACTGCTTAGACGATTACCTAGGACGATTTTCCACTGGGATCCACTGGGATCTCATATGGAAATCTGATATATGTCAATATATGTATTTCAAATATATGACCTATCGCTGTTGTCAGAACAAAACCTTGTATCTCCATTTTTGTCATTTTTCAGTTTTTGACATAATTAGAAAATGGATGTTGTCCTTTACATTTTATGTAAATTTCATGATGAATGGACTAAACGAAATGATCCAAAATGACTTGGAAAAATGTAAAGTTACCATTTTGGAGAAACAAGGTTTTCTTCCAACAACAGCAATATGCATATATGGATTTCCCTTTAATCCAACTTACATATGTCACATATGGACATATATGTGCCATATATACCAACTTCTTTATAATTGGTCATTATCAAATGTGGGACATATTTTAGCTATATAGTAACATATACAAACATATATATGTAATACATATGTTTAAAAATATATGACAGAAAACATTTTCATATATGGATGGCATATACTACTCATATATGTTGGTTTCATGTTATATAATTTTTATGGTTTTTTGTAGTTTATAGTTATAGTTTTTTATTGTTTGTTTCTTAGTTTAAAGGTACATAACTAAAAACATGCACATTGTGAGCTATGTAAAAATATTGCTCCCTGACATCCCATTTATATCATTTAAGATAACACAGTAACAATGATATCTGTACTCTTATATGTTCACCCATCTATCAGACATTTTCATATTTTTTGCATATATGTCCAATTTTATACTAACATATTTATACACAACAAATATGAACATATATTTTGAAACATATGACTAGATATTTATGATATATGTGCATATATGGCCATATATCAGATTTCTGGATGGGATTGGCTTCCCACAGTTCCTACTCACAAGCTGCTAGACTGCTAGCCAAGCTATTGCAATATGTTTTGCCTCAACCATTTCTAGATTTCCAGAGATGAAGAGTCAATTTCACATCCTCTTCTTGTGAGGTTCACTCATGCTCTCTCTTTTAAAGCAAACCTTGTAACATTGGGTTTTGCACATGGTGGTCCTTGACGAATCTCTGCATACACCTATTTTCTTCCCTACTAAAAGGATTCTTCAGTCACCCATCGTAATAGATTTCCTTGGCGTACCTGGCCTGTGCTGCCGCTGTGCAGGGAAATCACTGCTGTATATGGCAGAGAAAGTGCTCAAAGTGATATTTAATCTACCATGTGGTGGTTTTGAGTGGAACTTGGACGGGTGGGTGATTTTCTGCAGCTTCTGATGTCTTTCTTTGCTCACTGTGACACTTTCTTACTTCTCAGTGCTGACAGACACTGAGACACCTGCTGCTAAGTGCTGGCACTAACTGCAAATGAACATGCTGGTTAGCCAACCTGCTAAGAAAGAGTCATGAATAGCTAGGCTAAAAAAAACTGCAATCCAGGAAGATCTAAATGTTGACTTTTTATAATCAGGCGTGCTTGAGTGAAAATGGCAGACATTTATATGCTACTTTTTATGACTAGCTAAATGATTAAAACCTGTAGTTCTTGCAGTGACATTGTTATTAAGATTTATTTGATTAAGAAGGTGCGCAAAGCAAAGAAGCAGCTTTGGACACCAGCTTTATTCATTTTCTTTCTAATTAGGTAACTATTTTGGGCCTGTGAGGTGTCTGTACCAGAGGTAGCACAGAAAGTTGATGCTGGTTTGTTCTTATTGAGTGTAAGTTTGCTCAGGGGTCTCAATGCCGATCCATTACAAGTTTAAAATTGATCCTTAAATCCGGCCTGTAAATATTTTTTTTATTTTTCTGCAGCTAAACCATCAAGAAAGTTTACATCTGATAGGTAGATTTGCTTCACGAATCAGACACTGACTGGATACTCAACAAGAGCTTTATTAAATTAGACTAAGCTCATACTTATTTTGTTAAAAGCAAAAACAGAGCACTGCATCCAAGAGTAACTATTAAAACAGAAATGTGACACAGCATGAACGCTGCACACTATGGGTACGATTGAAACTATCAAATGTGTAGTGAGGAGAACTGCTACTCAGTGTCCTCCAGGTTCCAGGTTTCAACTGCTTCAGCACTCAGAAGCATTAATGCAAACCAATAAGAACTCAGTTGCAGTAAAGCCAACCAATCAGCACTCAGTAGCAGTAATGCCGACCAATCAGCACTCAGTAGCAGTAATGCCAACCAATCAGCACTCAGTAGCAGCAATGCTGACCAATCAGCACTCTGTTGCAGTAATGCCAACCAATCAGCACTCAGTAGCAGTAATGCTGACCAATCAGCACTCTGTTGCAGTAATGCCAACCAATCAGCACTCAGTAGCAGCAATGCTGACCAATCAGCACTCTGTTGCAGTAATGCCAACCAATCAGCACTCAGTAGCAGTAATGCCAACCAATCAGCACTCAGTAGCAGTAATGCCAACCAATCAGCACTCAGTAGCAGCAATGCTGACAAATCAGCACTCTGTTGCAGTAATGCCAACCAATCAGCACTCAGTTGCAGTAATGCCAACCAATCAGCACTCAGTAGCAGTAATGCCAACTGGCACTCAGAAGCAGTAATGCTAACCAATTAGTACCCAGTAGCAGTAATGCTAACTCCTACGGCCCAAAAGCTGTTTTATGTAGATACTGGTATGTTTTCTTTCATTTTTAGTGGATTGGATCCTTCTAATGTCCAAAATTAAAGGATTACCAAAACAGTTTTGCTTTTTAAGCCTTTTAGCTCCACGACACCGACAGTTAGGAAAATCCGCTTTGTGGATTCATTCATTGCTGAGCAGTAGATGCAGCCTGGCATAAAAAATTGAATAGAATGATCAGAAAATGCAGATCAGACTCTCTCCTTTGCCACAACTTGGCCCACAATAACTTCCCTTGCGTTCAGAAAGAAAACCAATGCTATCACGATAAGAGTCCCATGTACTTCTACTGTCAAATCTAAGTTTACTTGATTTAATTGAGCACTAAAATATTTAACAAACACAATTTATACCACCGCTACTACTAAATAATAATAATAATAATAATTTACTAATAAATAATGTATTAATAATAATAATAATATGTTATTATTATTATTATTATTACTTGTAGTAATTGCAAATCAACATTGATTAACATTCACTTAAATTAATGTATATGTTATGTATTTAAATGATAAATGACATTTGTTTTCCCATATTTTAGTTTACAACAAAACATTGAAAACATGGAAAATGTTAGATACTTAGATGAAAGAAATGAGGACACTTATGTTTTAGCTGGCTACTTTTTCAGCTGACCAGTTTGAGACCCCTGGTTTAAACATATTCCCAGCTCAGTTGAATCATGTTATGTTCCTTTCTTTAACTCATCGCTCTGTTTTTGTTCAGCATTTGACATGTTATAAAATAATAACTGTATGATGGCCGAATTAAAAAGGTTACAGTTAGTCTGTTGTAAAGCAGGTAGACGGACTGCTTATGCATATAAACTGCTGGTTAATGGGGCTTTCCGGAACACGGGTGGGGAGGCAGGGCGTGTATAGGTGTGAATTGGGAGTCAACGGTGAATAGTCGAAGACTATTGTTTGGCGGGCGGGGCCAAACACCTCAATAACCAATCAGAGGTCAGAGGGGGTGTGTCTTTATCTGTGATCTCTCGTTGGTATCTGAGGCGTAGAGCACAGATAATGTTTTGATGCTAACCGGAACGTTAGCTTCCAGGTATCGAACTGAGCAGCTTGACTTTCCTTTCCGTTTCTGGCAGTTTTGGAGAGGAGGAATGACGAACTTACTGCTGAGGTAAGAAGCTGTTTCTCTCTCCTAAATTCGGAGTGTTTCGTCGTCCAAAAAGTTTTGCTCCTCAGGCCTGAACGTTGCTATCTTTCTGCAGGGTGTTGCTGTCTGCAGCAGTGGCCTGGCAGACCATCACAGCTGGATCAGGTAATTTATACGTATTAGCTTTATATATATATATATATATATATAGTGGTTGTAAGCCAGATGTGCCTGAATTGTGTCTTGTTTTTTTACTGGATCTAAAAAATCTTTTTAATATAGTGGGATTTTTTATTTCTATATATTTTTATAGCAGCACCTGGATTGTTCTCATAATTTAAACATTTATTATTTTTATTTATTTCCTTACTTATTTTACACTGTAACCAGGCAACCCTGAATGGTTCTGTTTTTAGTACGGACCTTTTTATACCTATTTTTTATAGTCTGAAGCAGCACCATGTGTTCCATATTTATGTGCTATTTATTTATTTATTTCTTCATTTTGTTGCATAAGCCAGCTGTGTACCTGAATTGTTCCTCGTTTTTATGATTTTTTTTCCCCCCAAGGCTGTGAGGGAACAGAATGTGGAAATATTAAAGTGTCCAGGAGGCCTGATCAACACAGTGAATTCCTGAACCAGTTTAATGAAATGAATCCAACCGCTGACCGCCAGCACCGCGACCCTGGAGCTGTGTTACCTTTTATTGGGCTCACTGGAAGTAAGTGATGGACAGCAAGGCCCGAGGCCCAGGCCTTGGACAGGGGTTCGGCTTGGGTAACAGCTACAGGCTGTAGCAGTGGGTTTCCAGCACCTGTCCTCGGGACCCCTTTGCACATTTGTATGTTTTCCAGAACAGATTTAACACATCGTCTAACTGAACTATACGTTAGGTGGGTTAGATCCTGAAAAACTCAAAGTGTTGGCGTCCCCAAGGCAGTTATTGGGATCCACTGTTATACACTCTTAAAAATAAAGGTTCCTAAATGGTTCTTGTTCAGGATATGTAGTTTAAAACTTGGTTAAAGAGTTTTGTTTTTTTTACTTTAAGATGGTTCTTTACACCTTATACAGTTCTTTCAGATCTCATTTACACTAAAAGGTTCCTAAGTGGTTCTTCTGTGCTTTGGTACCTATATTTTAAGAGTGTAGGATGTTTCAGGTTTTGAGAGTAATATTGAGGTTTAAATGAGTAAAACAATGGTTTCTCTAGTTAAGCAACGTCTTAACGCCTTTCAAAATGGTTCTTCAGTACAGCCAGTGGTCTTCAGGGGTTCCTTAGGGGTTCTTCAGGAGTTTCTCAGCAAAAGTCAAGGGTTCTTAAGGGTTTTTTTTTTAGTAAAGCCAGTGGTTATATATGAGAGTATTCCATAGGGGTTCTTCAGTAAAGTCATGGGTTCTTCAGGGGTTTTCAGCAAAATCAGGGGTTCTTCAGTGGTTCTTTAGTAAAGCCTGCGGTTATATACTGAAGCATAACTGTTCAAAAAAATCAGTTGAGCATATAAATAGTACCTTGCATGGTTAAATGATTCTATACATATGTTAAGATACACATAAGGTTCTATACATATATATACAAGTTATAGAACCTTTTTAAGCACTATTGAGAACCCTTTGCTAAGAAGGTTCTTCACACTCACACATCTCATTTACAAAGGCTTTAAAAAGTAATTTTATGAAATAAAATGTAAAGAAATGTGTTTATAAAAGTGGTTCTCCCATGATATCACTCTAAATAACTATTTTTGGCACTTTTTCACAGCAGGCAGGGCATTTCTGGGTTTAAGGAGAATATTAAGTTTGAAACTAGAGTTCCTCTAGTTAAGCAATGTGCCGTAGCATCTCAGTGCGGTGGACCATATGTGCACTGGAGAATGTCTAGAAACAGATGTGTGAAGCCAGCTGTTTTGAAATGTTCTAAACCTCATAGAAGAAGTGAACAAAGAGCTGTCCTTTTCTGTTTGTTCACACCCAGTACTTTTTTGGTTTTATTGAAGGTGCGAAGCAAAGTCGCAGCTGCTGTAAGAACGGGGGAACCTGCATACTTGGAAGTTTCTGCGCCTGTCCGAAACATTTTAGCGGGCGAAGCTGCGAACACGACGAACGTGCCAGGTAAGAAGATGTAGCTGTGCAAAAGCCACAACTGATTATCTGCTGTAATGGGCAGAAGTTAACAATGCGGTATGAATTCTTGTCTTTTTCACAGGAATTGTGGGGTCATTCCACATGGAGAATGGGTACAGAAAGGCTGCTCCTACTGCAGATGTGGATATGGAGTATTGCATTGCTTCCCAGAAGTCTTTCATGGTGATTGCGGTAGGTTTATTGACTTGTTTCCGTCTGCGTTAGCATTGATTTATTTGGAATAATGACAAATTCCAGTTATGACTAGGCCATTGATACACAATGAGTATTCAACTTAATCTCAGCTGCAGTGGCCAGTGAATATCTGCCAGAATTTTGAGCTTCAGTGCATATTATTCGCCCACTCAAGCTACTTCCTATCAGCGCAGCCAGACGTTTATCCGTCTCCATCAATATCATGATAACCAGAGGCATATGGAGTGTCCGCCTCGGAGCCGAAACGAGCTTTATCAGATATTATCTGGAATAAGCCATGAAGACCTCTTCACACCTCATCCACTGACCAAATAGGGTTGTGAATCCCCACCGGCTAGCGCTTAATTCCAGCACACCCATAAAAGATTAGTCTAGGGGGGGAGGGTGGGCTTCTTTTTCAGGCCTAAGCATGTGCTAATGGTCCCATTTCCCCCAAGTCACTTCTCAAACGCTCTGTATGGTCGTCCATTCATTCACTGGGCTTTTTTCTTCTCTTTGCTTTGCAGACGACTCTCAGGAAGTGCGCTGGTTTCGTTCGAATGCTACAAGAACACTATTGACCAAGTTTTTCCTGTGCCTGGCATTGCTTCTTTCATTTCTCTTCTGAAGACTCTCTATTTTTACTATGTTCAGTGTGCTTGGCTCAGTTTTGCTCAGGAAAAACATCTTACCAGACCGACTACAAAAGAAGATTTTAAAGGAGATTTATATGTGTATTTTTCTCGTTTACCGCAGATGTTTCAACAGTTCTGCATACTTCAATGGTTGAGATGTGTCATTCGTACTGGTTTGATGTGAAATGGTTCATTGTAGGGGAACTAGACGATCTGATTTCTTTACAGTGGTGCTGATAGGAACCAGGGGTCGCCATGTCTACAACACAGAAATAGTTGGTTTATTTACTGTCTGAAACCTTTAGTGAACCTGACTCTTCTGAGTTTTGATATATGATGTTGATAATGGTAAAATGTTTTCTCTGGGGGCTATTTTGCATCAATACGGCATGCCTGTACCCCTCTGCCATTAAGGTCATTTTTAAAGTTTTAACTGATTTTTTTTTAACCTATTTTAAAACAATGTCTCAGGTGTGTAACTTTCTGGGAAGGAGCTTTTAGAGGCGTTAAACTCTTTAGACGTCTGGTTCCCATCACCACCACTGTGAACAGTTTTGACTCTAGCTGTAAGTTTCTCCAGAATGAAGCATTTCACACCAAACCACTCAGGATGACTTCACGTCTTAACCATTCATTTCTACAGGAATTGTTAACATCAGTGGGATTCAGCATTTATTGGCAGCACTGAAATCCATTTTTACTTCCGGTGGAAGTTCAGCATCTAGCTGTGTTTAAAACAACTGTTCTAATGTGAAGGAACTTGTATATAGGATTTATATTGAGAAATATATTGTGCTTGTGTTGGTGTACATTTTTCCCCAGAGATTTTTTTCTGTTTTTAATTTTTTTGTTTTTGTTTTATTATAAACCAGTGTTCCAGACGGTGCTGGGGGTCTATGATTTAATGTACAAGTACTTGTTTGTCAAAGTGGTCTTCATCTACAGCCAAAAGTGTTTGTTTGCTGTTCCTCTTGATGGGGAGAGAGTGTGATAATGCTAAGATAACCCGTGATTGTTGACCTTTCTGCTATTTTCTCCTTATCTAAAACAAACAATTACTCAGGCCAATCAATCACAGTGGCTGTTCTGACCTACTCTGTTGACCTTATAGAGTTTGAGAGAGATGTACTGTATCTGTCTGTGACTGGAGGAATGAAATTGTCTCAAGTAATTAATTTTCACATCAATAACTCAGATGGCTGATTATTTTCTGACCTCGTTTTGGCTGTTCATCATTGTTGATGCAAAAACCACAGCAATGAATCATAACGTGGGAGTGAAAATGGCAGATTTAGGATTTTGGGGCAAAATGCAAATGGGAAAAGATGTTCTGAAGTAACTAAATCTGAATGTTGACAGAAACAGTGTGTGATTTGTGTTCATTTGAATCGTTAATAATATAGAAGTATGTTTCTTCTACAGTACATGGATTAGTTTTTCTTCAAGTGCATGTCTAAGAATGATACTCTACAACAATATTTAGGTCTTTGCTCTTGTCCAAAGTCTAATATTTTCTCAAATTGAGATTATTAAAGGAATAATATATGATTAAACTGATTTATAACCATTTTTACATATTGACTGTCTTAATGTAGTGAAAGTGTCCTTTCTCTAAATTAACAAAGCTGTCTGCCAATAGATTAAGCTGTAAAAGTACTTCAAACTAGTAAAACCTCATTTTTTACAGTATAAAAATTAAGTGTGCCATTCACAGAAATGGCTAAACTCTAAAGTGATATTTTGCTTATATTGCATATAAGCAATTGAAAGGAAGCTAAAAAATGAAGAATCCCACCATTGTTTCCAAATTTCTGATATAAACAAAGTCATTCAGAGTGGTTTGATGCGAAATGCTCCATTCTAGAGAAATAGTCAGAATTGTTCACAATGGGTGTGAAGGGAACCAGACCTCCGAAAAGTTTAATGCCTCTAAAAGCTCCATTACAGAAAGTTATTCCATAAAGTGCTTGTATATTTGCTGCCTGATGCCTGAGACATGTTTTATGGTAGTTCCACATAGTTTTAAAATCCATTCATGGGCAAAATGTTCCCCAACGAATACTTATTTTTTGCTGTCAAAGCAAAACCTCACATCTCCAAAATGAGAACTTTACAGGAGAAAGAAAAATTTTTTTTTTTTCTTTTAACGTAAGTCAATGGAACCAGAATTTTTTCGAAGTCATTTGGGGCCTTTTCTTTTGGTCCATTCATCATGAAATTTACACACTGTGTAAACAGCAACAGGCTTTTTCAAATTATGTCAAAAACTGAAAAGCGAACGGAGATACGAGGTTTTGTTCCAACAGCAGCGATATGTAAACACATGTAGGGTCACTGGTAATTTTTGAGTATTAAATATAATGGCTAATATGTTGTAGACATTGCAACCACTGGTTCTTATCACCACCACTGCTGTAAAGTATATTGTAAAGTATACTTCATTACAAATGGTAAAAACGGTGGAATTCCTTGCCTAAAAGTTACCACAGACAACCTCCCAGACTTGGTAAATATGAGAGTGGCCTATCTGGGAGCGTCTTTCAGTGAAAGGGCTAACATGATGAATTTAGAAAAAAAAGTCGTATTTCCTGCTTGAAGTTCTCCAAACTGTGATTAACAGCAATGAGAAGACTGGAGCTGCTCTGAAGGCCTAACCCAACCTTTTATTACTCTACATTGCCCAGTGTTTCTATTTTTTGTCATGTACACTGATTAGCAAAGCCATAGCATTACAATTCTGCCTGAAAGGGAAATGTGAGGGGAAACCATAGTTAATCTTCATCTGTGTCCTCAGTCTGTTTTTATGTTTTGGTTTATGCACGCGGGTTTAATGTATGCAGAGCCGATTACAACCTTTGATTAATAGATGTGCTTTTCTCTCTTTTGCTTTTCAATTCCACATTAATGCAAAGCCAAAAAATGCACAAAGTTTAAATGTAAGTAGGCTATCTGAGGTCTGAGGCAAAGTATTTCTTCCTGCTAAAAGCTGGGTAGTTGCCAGCTGAACAGCTGCATAGAGTTGCTAGTGGTGATCACTCTTTTTCAATTGAAATGCACATAGGCTCCTTTATTCAAGTAGCAGGGTGGGGCGAATGGCTGGGGTGGGGGAACATTTATTCCCTAGTCTTGCGACTTCCCCATCACTATTAGCAGTTACAATGGCCTCTTTCTGACCTTTGAATGTGCTTTTTCATTTTCCATGACAGTGGTCAATGAATGAGTTGGCCTTTACCGCAGCGCTCTTCATGCTAAATGGCCGGGCTGATCTAGGCCGTCACTCCAATTTGAATATTTGTTCATGCGTTCTGTGGGATTTGCATTAGCACTTGACCACTTGACATGAATTTGGGAGTAAAGAAGAAATTGGACTGTCGAAACTGTGCTCTGAATGTCTTTCAGCTTGCAGTGTTGACATTCTCTACCAGCTTTGCGAGGGGCTACGTTCTCTCAATTATCTTCTTAATTACATAATCCTCCAGGCCTTTTCTCAATTCATTTGGTTTACTTCTAACCTCTGGGCACCCAAATCTCTACAAGAGCCAGCAAACAATCCTTTTGTTAAGGAAGTTTCTCCTGATCTCCTTAACCTAAGCCTCTCCTGCCTCTAACCCGAAGGGACATAGCTTAGCAAAACGCAGCATATAGAACCTTTTCATGGAATGTTCCTCATAAAGCTCAGCAACATCTGACGTTTTCGGGGATCTCAGTCATAAAAAAGGGTGGATTAATAGGTGGAGCAAGAGAGTGATACTCTCACAGGTAGGCCTCATAATAAGCCCCCCCTGCCAGTGCTCCTCCTGCTGGGAGCATATCCTCTTTTGCTCCTCCTGCACCCAACTGATACAATGCAGACCTTTCATTGGTGCCAGTTCATATGCACAAGCTTTGGCAAATCCTTTTGATAGAAAAAACCCGGCGCACGGGTTCCTCTGGGCTGACCTGACACCACAGGATCCTCCAGAATAAAAAGGTTGGATGGATGGGATTACATGCAGGAAATCTGTCCCCTTTTGTCAGGGGCAGTTGGGTGGGAGGGGGGAGGTGGCATTTTGCTCGGAGGGAATCGGCTCAGAAGTACCAGACATAACAGCGCGGCTAAGCTGCAATTGACCTATCCATGCTCCGCCCACTAATGCGTTCTTTTGTAGCAAATATTGCAAGATTGAGCAAACTTTAGAGAACATTAGCAGGAATCCCATTCAAACAAGCGCCTATTTAGAATGCTTGATTGACATCAAATTATATTTTTTCATACATGTGAAAGGTCACACTTGTCATAGATCAGGGTTTTTTTGTATTGACATTAAGGTAACATTAGCATGGTCGCTAATGTGCTCATTTTTAATGTGGCTATTTTTTGCATAGGTAACGTGATATAATCCAGGTCAGTAGCACAGTGCTTTCCTGGATACTCAACATTTTGTATGGACTCCAAACAAAGGCCAATACAATTACTCTTTGGGCTGCATTGGATTTGGCCAATATCCTATAAAGCTTTCCCAGTTGTTTAACAGTTATGCAACAGTTAGCTATGAAGACATGTCTGTGGTCAGACCATAAATAGTCCCTCCATTTTTACTTGGACTTAAAATCATGAACTCTCAATAATACATAACATGTCAGAAAACATTAAATGCTAGTTTTACGCCAGAAACCTGGTTTGTGTCCTTCTGGGTTTCCACCCATCAGTGTTCTCTCACTATGATCCCCAGCATGCATTACACAAACACGTCACTGGGAAGCACCTCCACAGTAATAAAGAATTCCTGGCCTAGCCAGTAAATACAGACACGATGTTGGGCTTCCTAGCGGTAACGTTGGCTATCTGGTTTCCTTCCACATTAACAAGCTAGCGGGGAAAACAAGTATCAACTATCCACCCAAAAATGCTTGTATCTTCTTTTAAAAGTGACCTTAACATACGTCATCAGAAGAGGTGTTTTCTGAGTCTTTAACACAGAAAATCTCACTTTTGGACTGTAGCATCACTGTAGGAGGTGAGCTGGTATGTTTACAACAGATTACATATCCTTTATTTTCAGCATCCCCCTTTAAGGTATGCAGTTCAGTGTTTCTCAACCCTGGGCTTGGAGGCCCACTGCCCTACACAATTTAGAGCTTTTCCTACTTTAACACACCCACTTTGACTCAATAATGGGCTGTTAATGAGCTGATTAGTTGTATCAGGTGTGTTGGGAGCAGAGAAAATACTAAAAAGTGCAGGTCAGTTGGCCTTTAGAACCAGGGTTGAGAAACACTGCACTACATAGTCCAAAATAAAACACATATCTTTTTTTGTTTTTCTGCAATTTTTTTTATTTTTCACACCAGCTGTCCTTTCAATCTATCTAATGGTCCCAAACTAGTTGGGGGAAAAACTCATTATATTGACTTACAGTAAAAGTTGCCTTCTTGTGTAAAGTTGCCATTTTGCAGATTTTTTTGGACAGCATTGATATACAATGTTGTCTCAGAGAAAA